AGGATAAAAAGATTTTTATGATCTCTTATTTAAAACAGTCATCTGTTTTGTTCTGACCTTTTTGGCAGTCTGTTTTGACTGGCCTGTTGTATCATCCCTTGTGACAGACCTGCAGGGAAAGTGGGTTGATGAGCCATGGCAAACTCGGACTGTTAGAAAGGTCGTTTTAACCCAGCATGCTGAATGTAAAGGCTATTTATGTTCTTATGACTCATTCTGCAGTTTGTGAAGCTGACAGTGGAGGAGTGGGATAGCTCAAGCAGAACACACCTGTGCTTCTCCAGATACTGGTTGTGTGGATTACGCACCTGTTCTTGTCACAGCCTTCCTGCTTGACTGTGGACAGGCCTCTTGAGATTCAGTCCCACACCATGGAGGTCTAGTGGCAAAACTCTGGACAGCCAAAGTAGGAGCAGGACTGAATCTTCATCCTTGGATCTCTCTGCTTATTCTGTTCTGTGTGTTGCAAGCTCCACGCTTAAAAATGCTGCTGTCTCTCATGAAGGAGCGTCTGTTAGTGCAAATAGTGTTTGAAGCTCTTATTTATTTATTGGGCTTCAGAGTCAGGGAAAGAGAGTGGGTGGCACTCTTTGTTTTCAAGGGAGGAGGCTGGCTTCGTGCTATAGTCATTTATATTTATGTGCTATACCAGATTATAATGGGAACATTGGGGTTAGGAAAGCTTTGTTTCTTTGCAACTACTTTGTCTTGAAAAATCATTATTCCAAACCCTTCTTCTGGAGTAACTCTTGCCACATCCTTTACATGTGTAACCTAAGAGGTAAAGAATGATCAAAAGTGCCCCTTTGTGTTTGTATCCCCCTCTGTGTTGTACCTGACTCACCTCATTCAGATTTAAGATGATGTATGCATCTATATGTATATACAACTTGTGTGTATCAGTAAGTAAATTTGGGCATTCCAATGTGAAACTAGTTTCCCCACGGTAGCATAAACAGAAAACATTTATACGTTTTAAAGTTTGAAGTCTATCAGTGTGCAGTAGTTTATTCTGAGAACTTCATGTAAATGAAGTGTCTTACATGTGTAGCACTATGCAAGCTGAATGTATCGTCAACTTGATGCAGCATTGCAGACAGTGGAGTAAGCAATGTGATCCAAACAGGATACCATGGGACCACTCAAAACAGGCTGCAATTATAAGACAGTTACAAGGTGTAAGGGGAAGCCTCAATCCCTTTCTTAATTGCATTCTGAGACTGAATTATGGCTTACGTTATCCCTTGCACAACCTTATTGGAACTAGTTCTTAAAGGATACACTTTAATGATGAGCAACTGTGTTTATTTACGTCATCATCTCCTGTTCTAAGGATTGTCTTCCTTGTCCTTCCGTGTTCTCATACTGGCAGGTGATGCATTTAAAGAGCAGATCAAACTGAAGTGTGGGAGATAGTCAAGCTAATCAAACACTATGAGATATCTCTGCAGGTTTTTTGTCGCTATAGCATGGAAATGCTGAAGGTTTTATAGACAGAGTGTATAACAAGAACAGGAAATGACAGTGCAGTTTGTTTTCTCAAAGAATACAATGGGAATGGAGGCTGCAGCTACCTTAATTAGATTTTTTTCAATTAAACATTTTTAGCAAGGATGAGAAGTTCTGCTAATTGAATCTGTTCTAATTTCCATCCCCCTGTTTGTCATGTTTTGCTCTTCGGTTTGGGAAATATCTCAAGAAACAGCTCTTGTTGTTCTCTGCTGATTACAGTATGTGGTGACAGATGGCAGGCAACATGCTGATGTGCAGAGTAGCTACACATAAGCCATAGGAACTCCCACCTGTCTTCATTATAATGAAACTAAACTGGATCCAGTCCAGTGACTTAGGACTGCATTGACTTTCTTCTCTACTACCAATCTCATCCACTTTAATACAAGAAGAAGTTTGTTGTCCATTAGTAATGCCCACAAATATTTATATACTGTTGCAGTGAACTGTAGAAAGTCTAAAAGAAATGTGATATTTAGACCTGCACCTCTTCAGGACAAGAGCAACTGTTAAGTTTTAGCATTTCTGCAGTTGGTACTATACATTATTGAGATTTCTTTTTGTATGTTTCTGGCTCTTTGAATACCACTTAATGCATTTAATGTTTTGGCACCTGTTGATCTACTAATTTCAAATGTGAGTTTGCCCAGAGGGTGATATTGATGACTTCTAAAGTAGGCTTGAATGTGCTTTGTGTTGGAGATGACTTTCTGGTTTAGAGACATGCCACAGCAGGATTTCTCACAATTTACCTCTGTGCTACATGAGTTCCCAAGTCTGGGCAAAACAGACAATAGATGTGTAGGCGATACTCAGTTCTATACTGGCTGAAGGATTGCTGTCTGAACCCTGGACCAGATGTTTTGACAGTTTCTGTATATCTCAGTGACTGAACTCTTGAGGAAATATTTCCCACTGGAAAGATAGTTTTAGCTGTTTTAGATGTGAAACTTATGGTTTTTTAAATGGTCTTTCTAGCTAAAGTTCTTCAAGAAGGATTCAAGAGAGGATTTTGTGAGAAAATTGGGCTTTGTGCCTACCCATTTCTCAGAGTGTTCTGAGTGAAGCAAATTGACTACCTTTTTGTTATAAGCCTCTTTTGAGATGCACACGGAGTCTACTCTAGAGTTCTTTAGTAATCTGTGCCATTCAGGATTATTTTAAAAGCTGCTTTTGGTGTTACGCCAGATGGTCTTTTACAAGTTCCCATAACTGGGAAGAACTTACAAACACAGAAAGACTGCAGATTTGTCTCAAGAGATCTTTGTCAAGTACAGAAGCTTACTAGATTGCTTAACAGAGCCATGCCTGTGACTCTAATCTTTAATTTGTCATTAAAGAGGGTGGAGCTGCATTTCAAGGAGCGTACAGCAGTTCTGTGCTCTTTAAGGGTAGCTTTAGTGATTTGTGTCCCTTTTGGGACAAGGTGGAGGAAAAGAAAGGAATACCAACTGAATCCACCCAATACAAAGTTGATATTAAGAGTGGATATTCAGTCTCTGCTGTAAACAGGATTTGCTGAAGGAGTTTCAAGCTGAGTTCCCCAAAGCTGAAATAGCCAGTGTTTGGTAACCCCATCTTTATTTAATCAAAACAAAACAAAAAGGCAAGTTCAGGTTCTAGACTGCCAGTTTTGTAGGGAGATTAGTAGGTTATGGGCAGACAGTGGCAAAACATGATTTTTAGGTAGCTTTGGCAGTTGTCTGAAACTGAAGCGATTACTGCTCTAACCTAGAACTTCTTAGTTAGTTATGAAGGGAGAACTTGCAAAAGAAGCAGATTATACACCATGGCATAGTGTGTTTTAATTTATCAGAATTTGTTCCTTAAGAATTCTAAAAGAGTTGATCAATTTTATTTTTATATACTTCTTGACAGATAACTTTTGGTCAACTGAAACTAAGTGAATTCAGGTCAAAGGCAGCTCGCAGAAAAGAAGAGTAAAAGAGAGAAAACTTCATTTTGGTATTCTTAGAGATCAAACATTCTGATTTTGTTTTGAGAATACCAGGGTGGGTGAGTTTGAATACATTGAGATTTTAACACAGAAGCATGCGCCAGATGGTCAGGACTATTTAGTTTGCATTTAGGCAAGAAAATAGGTAACTAGATATCTTCTTTTCCTTCTTGCCCTCCATACACTTGTCTCTAACAGTGGAAAACTCACGCAGGTGATTCCAAAGGGGCTCTTTGGGGTATGATGCTGACATTTGGAGAGCTAAGAGTCTCAAGGGCTGGCACAGGATGGTTTGCCATATGCAAACCTTGTTATAGAAGTGCAAAACTAGACTCTGTGGGTAAAGATAAGTGCCTTTATGATATATGACCTAATGAAGTGTTGCAGATCTTCAGGAAGACTGCAGTCAGACATGGGCTAAGTATCTCTAATTGGGAATGTATTTCCTGCCAGTGAGCAAGATTGGCTTAAAATGGCTTACGGTTGCTAAATGTTCTCCAGATGCTGCAAACCCTCACTGATGTAGAACAAGGAATAAAGAGAGAAGTCGCAGCAGCCACAGCTCCAGGCAACATTGATTTGGTCTCCGAACAGGAAAAATCCAGGGTCTGAGTACTGAGTCAAAAGCATCTAAACTACTACCTGAGCCAGAGGTTTATTTTAACATGCAAAAGTTTGTGTTATTCTATAATCAAAGTGCAGTTTAATCATAGTTCTTGCACATGCTATTTCACGTGTAAACATTTGTGTACACATTTCATAGAATCGTAGAATCACCAAGGTTGGAAAAGATCTCTAAGATCATACAGTCCAACCATCCACCTATCACCAATATTTCCCACCAGTATTTCCTAAACCATGTCCATCAGTACAACATCTAAATGTTTATTGAGCACCTCTAGGGATGGTGACACCATCACCTCCCTTGGCAGCCCATTCCAGTGCCTGACCACAGTCTTGGAGAAGTAGCATTTCCTAATGTCCAACCTGAATCCCCCATTATTTATTTTTTTTTCCTCCATTTCCTTGTGTCTACACTAGTTATGGTTGTGGGCTGCTAATATGGCAGGACACACTGTACTGTGAAGGAGGCCATAGACCAAAACATGACCAATAAGAAGTTGGGTCTGAAACAACTTTTCTGGCAGTCTGAATACGAAATAAAAATCAAGTGACTGAAGTACTTATGTTTATAATGCTGAGATGAAGAATCAGTAGTGATCTGTGAATCTCCTTTTTGTGCTTTGCACATTCATTTATGCACACAGAAAGCTAACAATTGAGAAGTATTTTGTGGAATTTCACTTTAAAAGGCCATTCTTAAAAATACATGAGGACATATGCCAGCTTTCTTTAGAGGGGAAAAGTGCCTCATGGATTTGTTTTGAAGCTCTCCTTGTTTACTGTATGCAATTACTATCTTATGGACAGTGATACAGACCTTCTGGAACATTGTTTGGGATTTTTTGAATACTATTTTTAATTCCATTGTTCCCATTCACATTTATTTGCTTATTTATTTTTACTTCAGGGAGAAGTGTCTCCTTCCTCTCCAACTGGCTCTGGAATCGAAGAGCATGAAGTTGGCCCAGCAGGCTCTTGCAGGGATGCAGGTATGGCTTAAGAGTGGGGTGTGTTTATGTTAGTAGGTAGTGGGCGTCAAGGAAATTTAGGCTTTTCTTTTGAAAAAATGCTACAGAAGATGTGTCTGTCTTCTGGTGGATGTAACAATGATGTTCATTTTTCTGTAACAGTGTTCAGAATTTAGGGTGCAAGTGAAGGCTGTTGATTCTGTAGAAGCTTGGAATGTTCTACACATAGGTGGAGTTCCTGACTTTCAACGTATGGAGACGTAGTCTTCCAAATGTGGTCCTCAGAAAGCCTTACCTTACAGATGCTTAGTTGCTCAGAAACTAGAGTGAAGTGGTGAAGAAGTTAATAAAAGATCCTGAAGCTGTATTGTCTATTTGCAGGGTTTTTTTTCCACGTTTTTTTCAGTATCACTGGATGTGAATGTTTTTGAAATTGTGAAAGAAAACAGCAGCATAGCATGAGAAACAAAAAGACACTATAGTATTTGACAGTATAAAATTAAAAGAGTTTACCTTTCTTTTAATTGGTCAAATAGCTATGCATCAGTAAATTCTTACCACTTGAGAGATGCTAGCTGTGGAAGAAACTGGTACACTGCTGAATTGTGAAATGCCTGCTACTGTTTTTCAATAAGAAGCTTCTCTCTCAAAGAGTAAGGATAGATTTGTTTGGGAAGTGTAAGGATGTAACTTCAAATTCACTTAGCTCTGCATATGAGATATTGGGCATACTGTTAAAGGAAGTGATCCATATGGAGGCACAACATGGTGGTGTGAGGCTTTATCTAGGAAAAAAATATATTTTCTTTAAGGTTAATGTAATTGAGCTTTGCCTTAAGAGTACTTGGGAAGATAAGTGCCATAGTTCTTTCCTCTGCTCCCTTTCTCCTTCTTTCCTCTCAGCTTTTCCTGCATAGCACAACACCATATGGTAGGGGATATTGCTTTGGTCAGCTGCGATCAACTGTATTGGCTGTGTTCCCTCCTAACTTCTTCTGAAATCCTAGCCTACCCACTGGCAGCATGAGAAACAGAAAAGACCTTGGTGCTGTTCAAGCACTGTTCATTAATTGCTAAAACAGTGGTTTACATATTATTTATATATATATATTAAAACATATTATCAATGCTGTTTTCCTCACAAACCCCAAAAACAACACCATGTGGTCTACTATGAAGGAAATTAACTCTATCCCAGAAAAAAAGCCAGTATAAGCATAGAAAATAGCACTACTTCATTCCTACTTCTACAGACTTGAAGCTGGGAGGGAGCTTTAGGACAGAAGTCATGCAGAAAGTACAGGGTAAAGTGGACTATTCAAAGAGTGTCCTGGGACAGAGCAAGGTTTTTTTCCTGGAAGATAAGGTAGTTTTGCTCTGCAGTTGGAGCGTCTAGGAGAGCCAGTTCTGGAAAAAATATTTGCCTGAGTGCATTTATTGCAAGAAGCTGTCACTAATAGGAGGTACCAGTGAAGATGGTTCTAGACTATGTAGAAGTTTACAGTAGAATCCTGAGGAAATAGTTTCAATGGCCATGTCCCCTTGAAGTGTCACCTAACATGATTCTGATTTAATTTTTTGTTCTTCATGAGAGTGCATTAAAAATAGTTTGGAGCTGTTACGGTCTTTGAAATATTTTCAGTTTTGTTGTAGAATTCTGATAGAGCCTGGTTTGTTCAGGTTCAGTAAACAAAAGCAGAAGCGTTTGATTTTTGTTTCTTTGTTTTTAAACAAAACAACAACAACAAAAACCCACAAACCTTTAGGGAAAACAGCAAGAATAAACAGTGTTTTATTTGGGTAGAAAAAGAATTTATGGGTATGAACTGGTTGTGAATAAATTGAGGCCAGAGTGTGAGAGGAAGTTATTTTTAGAAACTTGTTGATTTTTATGGGAAAAGTGTGAAATAACTGAAATCTTCTTGAACTGGGACATGGTTAGCTCAGGAAAGTGAGAATGTAACATGAAGAGCTCAGTTAAGTGTTGCTGTCTATCAGTCCCACTTTCAAGCATGAAAACAGACTCTCACAAAATCCTAGTGATAATCTTTCATGTTCCACTAATATTTTTCATGTTGATTCCCTCAGTCTCGCACATCTCCAGTTGTTGGAAGATGCTGGCTCTGATGCAGCTTTTTCAAGACAAAGCCTGTCTGATTGGTCTGAAATATTTAGCCTGAAGCTCAATCAGTCTGAATTGAATGCATTCCTGGGTACCATATTTGTGGTTCCTATGCCACTCATTTGGTAGCAGTTCTCTCTTTCTGAGGATTTGATAGCATTTGTGATAAGTCAGCTTTTGAATGACACTAAACGTGTCTTGTCAGTGGTCAGAAATTCTATATTCACTGTGCTTGTGTTCCGTGTCTTTCAGAATTAGAAGACAGCTGAATCTTTTGTCTCCCATCAAGTAGGGTATCTGTTAGCATTAGTTTGAGGTCAGGGCACTAACCTCTATTTGGGGATTTTTTATTTTTTGTTCCCACTTTGTTTTGAGAGCATTGGAAGGCATTACTTTGAATGGTTTGTGATCTCACATCAGTTGCTGATAACTGCTTTCTTCTGGATGCTCCAGAGGCAAGGTGGGAAAGACATTCATGGAATGGCAGCAGGTTCAAAAGATACAAACTTTTCCTTCATTGTGGCTTGGGTTTCTCAGTTTTTGCTGTACTTCCTTATATTACTGGATCACTTTGAATTTTGTATATAGAACATAGCCACTGTAGTACCAACATTAGTAGGCTTGGTATAGTAGTTAACGACAGCATTAGTCAGAGGCAGTATTATGTTCAATCTGTGCACTGCCATTTTCTCTCTACAGAAGCTGCTGTCTGATGAGAGGTTTGTATCCGTGGAAACAGACTCGGATGAGAAACAGTTGCTTAATCAGATGCTGAATGCCGTCAAAGTGACTCCTTCACTCAACGAAGATCTGCAGGTTGAAGTGATGAAGGTTAGTGTTTCCCACGTGTCAGTTCTTGCAGCAGGGGCTGCATAACTGCTGGGATTAGCAAACAAATTAGATGTTGTCTTGGAAATCTTCACCATAAGGACAGTATTTGATTCCTTCCTTCTTGTTGGCATATGTCAGTTGCTTTCATTTCTGCTAGGTTTGTGTTTTCTTGGGTAAACAGGAGATAATTTGAAGGAACTGTGACCGCTACTGTTAATACAACATGAAACAGACCAAAAATTCACTCCGTGGTAATTCACAGGTAAATGACTTGCAGATTTGCAAGTTTGTATTTGGTATTAGTGCTCATGAGTTGGACTGTACAGTTTTGTAATTTTGAAACACGTGGATAGGTCCTTACTAGTTTCTGTTCCCTTTGTAAAATGCTGATGATGGAGCATGATGTGTCTAGGCACGAAAATGTTCCTGGACTAATTCATAAGAGAGGTTATGTTCTGTATACTCAGTGAACATTTTCTACTCTAGAAATGCTTTAGCATTCTCCTGCTTGTGTGTTAGGAAGCCTAGATGCCAGGAAATATGGTTTTGGAAGGGAGGTGCTGTGAATTTTCCTTGCCCTGTTGGAGTTAGTATATTATAACCTGCTAGTACTGCCATGAAAATAGTGATTTCCAATACCTGCATAGTTCACAGTGCATTGCAATATGGTGGTGGCAGGTTGCCATGTGTTTGGATGTAAAGTTTGTACTTCAAGATTTTATGTGCAATTACTGTTCTCTTGTAGAAAAAATACTCTTCTGGTGGTCTTTTTGTGTCTTCTCTACACCTAGTACTGATTTATATGTTTGAATGTAGATATTTGACTGTCGCTTGCTTCCTAGTGCATAGACTAAGTGTCTTTATTTTTTTAGTATGTTTGACATCCTTGTACTAAAGAATATGTGTTACTTTCTCTGAAACTTCTCTGTACTAGCTGTACTCTGCCAATGAGGCTGGTTGCTTGCCTGCAGCATGCACTCTGTGCCAGAACATGCATAAGGTTGAGCCTAGCAAGAGAGAAAGAGGATCACAGAATCATAGAATGGCCTGGGTTGAAAAGAACCACAATAATCATCTAATTTCAATCCTCCCTGCTATGTGCAGGGTCTCGAGCCACTAGACCAGGCTGCCCAGAGCCACATCCAGCCTGGCCTTGAATACCTTCAAGGATGGGGCATTCACAACCTCCTTGGGCAACCTGTTCCAGTGTGTTACTACATTTTATGGAAGCAAGATTTTGCCTATAAACAGGCTTAACTTGAGGCATTCAGATCTGCAGCTCTAACCCAGCATGCTTCTTTCCTGCCTGTGATGAGAAAGGTGAAAGTTTACCTGGCAGCACTCCTGAACTGGCACCTTCTTACTTTTTGGGTTTTTTTGTTTGTTTGTTTTTATCCTCCTGAGTATTGCAGATTCAGGATCTTTGTGTACATTGTTTCTCTGAAACAATGGTGCAATAAGCAAAATAAATAAAATATTTACATCCTGTTTTTAAAACAACCAACCACCACCACTAAAAGCAAGGCTCACCTCCCATTTTGTGCTAAAGAGAAAGGAAAACATTGTCTTCATTCTACTGAGTGAAATTTTAATGTATAAATCCTTTCCTAAAGTTCTGGATAAATGAAAAGTAAAAAATCAGATTTCATATATACATCCGAAGAATAATGCAAAACTTTTATTTTTATTATTCGAGGAAGAGCAGTGGGCCAAAAGATTTAAACAGAGCATGTAATGCTCAAGAAACTTTGTATCTGAGACTTACCTAAAAGCCAATTCAAACAGTAGATCCTTTTACATTGTAGCCTGAAGGTTGCAGATGCAGTTGCTACTGTCTCTGGGAGTTGAGGTCTGGGGATGTGGCAAAGCCCTCAGGATTTCCAGCAGCTTGTCTCAACAATGCATTTTTATCCCTAGATCTGCTAAAAAGTGTCATAAAGTCAGCATCCAACCATGCATTAGACTGTCTTACTCCATCCAGAGGAGCTCAGATACATTTTTATGCATTGCAGATATTAGATGCTCCTGAATGTGAGGTCTGTATGAAACTGGGTCAGCAGTTTTTGCAGCCTGGTTCTTTGTGGCTTGCTGCACGGCTGCAGTAGTCTCATAGGTATTGACAATGCAACCAAAAGCTTTTAGTCATGTAAAATAGATTCTACAATGGAAGTACAGGAGTCTAAAATCTCACTGTAAGTTGCTGGCACCTAAGCTCCTGAATCACTTCAAAGCTTATTTGGGAAATCATATCCAAAATATATTCCATCACTTCCAGCAAGTGTCCATCAGAAATTCACACTTTGCTAATTATCCATAGAAATACTTTGAATATTTATCTATATGGTTCTTTGTCATTTATCTGTTTTGTAAATGTGTGTGAAGGGATTTGATGAACTTGGGAAACAGTGTAAAGTTTTTACATTCAGGTGTCTGCAAATTGGGATTGGTAGTAGAAGAAGGAACACAAGAGAGAGGCACAAGTGCAGGTAGTTGCTCTGATACACTTTTTGAAATTATTATTACTCAAATATTATATATTGTTTTTGTATAAGTAATCAAATATTATTTCAAAGGGACAGTGCTAGGCATAAATGGAATAGGAGAACTGTAGTGGTTGCTGTAAGTGAATGAAAAGGAACACTAGCTGGATGTCTTCCAGCACTGAGGAAACTGAACAGAAGAGGCCACTGCTGTAGAAGTGGAACAGCACTCAGCAATTTATGGCTAGGTAACCAGATCCCCCTTATTTTTAAGAGTGAGTGTCATGGCATGCTCCACAGATTCCTGTATTGGAGGATCACAGAAACAGTACAGTAGCAGTGTTGAGGGCAAGGCTGGAGACTGGCTGAATTACATCTTGGGCAGCCAGAGGAGATTAATACTGCCGAAATACAGCTGTCAAGTAATGCTCAAAGCCTTCAAAGACACTGTAACAGGTTGCCCAGAGAGGTTATGAATGCATTCAAGGCCAGGCTGGATGGGGCTTTGAGCAACCTGGTTTAGAGGGAGGTGTCCCCCCCTGTAGCAGGGGGTTGGAAGTAGATGATCTTAAATGTCCCTTCCAACGCAAACAGTTCCGTGATTCTATGATTCATCTCTCACGATATCTCTTCCGTGATAGGTGAAGGTGATTCTGTCCTTTCTGTAAACTGTTTAGAAGTGGAATCTTACTTTGTGTAATAAGCAAGTACCAAATTGAACTGCAGATTAGAGATTGCTGGCAATATCATCAGTTCTTCTGGATATCAGCCATGGATTGCATCTCTCCCTTAGGTCTTTGATTCAGAGCAATTCTGTGGGAGAAAGTTCCAGAGTAGTTACTCTTGCTCATCTTTTTGCAGAACACTGTTAGTATTAGTAAGTACCGGGCAATTTCTATGTGAACAGAAGTAGTGTGCCCAAAAGAAGTTGCTGGTCTTCTCTGTGAGGAAGGGGAAAAGGCTAAAACTTCCTGGCATGAATGTGCACTAGTAACAAACAGAGGCACACTGTCTGCATTGGATTTCCCATATACTAATGAAAGGTGTCAATGGTGTATGAGACTTGCATGCTGTTTATACTAATGAAAGGTGTCAATGGTGTATGAGACTTGCATGCTGTTTAAGTGCCAAGCATTGTGTGTCTTTAGAGTATCTCAGTGACTATGCTGTATGCGTATTCTCTGTATCTCTAATGTATTTTGACAGCGATTTATTAGTATTCTCACACTGAGAACTAAATTGAGCTTATTTATGTGTTTTAAATCATGTTTAAAGATGCTAAGAAACCAAGTGATCAGCAGAAACAATGGACCTGATGCAAGGCCACTTTAACATTTACCTTGTTGCCACGATATACTTCATTATCATGCTGAAAAACCTCATATATGCTGAACCTGTTTGTGCTTTTCCTACACTCAGCTGACTGTGTCAGGGGAATGGAAAATCACACAGTTGTACAGTACCTTGTTGATCTTCCTGTAATCCATCAGTAAGTTGATTGCAGTTAAAAATGGAATATTATGAGTATTTTTGCTTGCATATCTACATTATAGTATTTGTGTAAGCTGGGAGGGAGAGCTCTGTTATAACTAATCAAATGTTATCAGTTTTATTAGTGATGCACCGAAGTGACTCAGTGATCTATTGATATGTTTGCAGTTTTATAGGCAAAACTGGGGGGTGGGAGGGAAGAGGGAGTAACTCACCCTTCACAATAGACCAACAATATGGCTGGCTCAGGTATGGGAATAATTTGATTTTGTGACATAGGGCTACATTATAACTGAGTGAAACACAAGGCTGTGTCTTGTGTTGAAGAATAGGGACATTTTGCTGGCCTTAGCACTAGATGAGCAAGCAAGTAATCTACAGCAGAAAGAATTTCTGGAAAAATTCTTGTCTGAAGATAAATATGGGTTTGGGTATGGAAGATCTTGGTTTCTTTTTTGGTTAGCTGCTTTTAAATTCTGGCTTCAGGTGCTTTAAAGTGGCTGAAGTACTTCTGCTTTGTTCAATTAGACCTTTGTTTGCCAAAGCACATGCAATATTGACAAAAGCGCTACTGGACGTGGCCAGATCAGCAGAGGAAAATGAAACTAATATATAGCTGAGCATTTTTCTTTTCTCTCTTTGATTTTTTTGGTAATTCATCAGCTAGAGGAGCGAATATTTAGCTTTGAACACAACTCTGGTGCCAAAACAGGGGAAACATAGCATGAAGGAAGAGGCTAGGGTGGAAAGAATCTAAAGCCACGATGTTGTTTTTTTTTTTTTTTTCTTTCCCTTTTCACTGAAGTTACAGTGACTTCCACTAACAATTTGACAGCTGCCTTAACAATGCAGTGCCTTTTTCTGTCTATTTATCTGTCCGTGATAGTATTTTTCTAAAATAACAAAAAGATATTAAAAAAAAGCAGCTCAATGAGTAATTGCAAGATAGTGGTTGAGTCCTCACTCAGAAATAAGCCTTCCAGATAAGATGCATATACCACAAAATAACGGGCATTGGCAGAAAACAAG